ATTTCTCCCAGGAATTAATTCCCACAGGTCTACAATAAACTGTAGGTGTTTTCTTGCCCAAACAAAGAAAATAAAGGTACTGAATTTTGGGATTTTGCACAATAAGAACTGGCCTCAAATAGATAGTATGTTTATAGCCGGGCGTTGTGGTGGGCGCCTGTAGTCCCAGCTACTTGGGAGGCTGAGGGAAGAGAATCACTTAAGCCCAGGAGTTGGAGGTTGCTGTGAGCTATGACTCCACAGCACTCTCTACCAAGGGCAATAAAGTGAGACTCCTGTCTCTAAAAAAAAAAGATAGTATGTTTAAGAGGAATAGAGACATGTTCACTAAGTTCACACATTCAACCAACACTGAGTACCTACTATGTAGTGATAAGGATAGACAAGGCCCTCATTCTCATAGAGCTTAATTTCCAAAAAAGACAGAAAATAAAAAATAAGGGAATTACAGATAGTGATAAACGGCGTGAAGATAATAACCCAGTAATGAGACAATGTCCTTCAAGAGGTAACATCTGAACTGAGACCGGAATGACATTATGGAATTAACCACTGGGAGAAGAATACTGAAGACACAGGGTACAAGTGCAAAGGCCCTATGGCTGGAGCTGGTTTGGCAATGCTAGTGGGGCTGGAAACCAGGAAGAAATTCATGTGGCCAGAGTTCCGAAGTAGGTAGAGTGAAACAGGTAAGGTAAGGAAGCAGTGCCAACACGTAGTACCTAGCAAACCTAGGTAAAGAGTTTGAATTTTATTCTGAATGTGGATGAGAGACTTTCAACAAGGGGGTGCCGGCTCGGTGCCTATAGCTCAACCGGCTAAGGCGCCAGCCACGTACACCTAAGGTGGCAGGTTCGAATCCCCAGCCCGGACCCGCCAAACAACAATGACGGCTGCAACCAAAAAACAGCTGGGCGTTGGGGCGGGCGCCTGTGGTCCCAGCTACTTGGGGGGCGGAGGCAGGAGACTCGCTTGAGCCCAGGAGTTGGAGGTTGCTGTGAGCTGTAATGCCACGGCACTCTACCCAGGGGGACAGCTTGAGGCTCTGTCTCAAAAAAAAAAAAAAAAAAAAAAAAAAACAAGGGGGTGCCAATCTGTTGTACATTTTAAAGGAACTGTTAGGCTGCCAAGAAAAATGCACCATAAAAAGTGAAAGTGCAGCTGGGCCCGGTGGCTCCTGCCTATAATCCTAGCACTCTGGGAGGCCAAGGCAGAGGGACTGCTTAAACTGAGGTGTTCAAGACCAGCCTGAGCAGAGTGAGACCCTGTCTCTAAAAATAGTCAGGGATGGGCGGCACCTATGGCTCAGTGAGTAGGGCACCAGCCCCATATACCAAGGGTGGTGGGTTCGAACCCAGCCCCGCCAAATTGCAACAAAATAATAGCCAGGCGTTGTGGCAGGCGCCTGTAGTCCCAGCTATTCCGGAGGCTGAGTCAAGAGAATCGCCTAAGCCCAAGACCTGGAGGTTGCTGTGAGCAGTGATACTACAGCACTCTACCAAGGGCGACATAGTGAAACTCTGTCCCTAAAAATAAATAAATAAATGAATATAGCCAGGTGTTGTGGCAGGTGGCTGTAATCTGTAGTCCCAGCTACTCAGGAGGCTAAGAGAATCACTTAAGCCCAAGAGTCTGAGGTTGCTGTGAGCTATGACACTGCAGCTCTCTACCAGGAGTGACAAAGTGAAGACATGGTCTCAAAAAAAAAAAAAAGAAAGAAAGAAAGAAAGGGGTGGCACCTGTGGCTCAAAAGGGTAGGGCACCAGCCCTGTATGCCAGAGGTGGTGGGTTCAAACCCAGCCTCAGCCAAAATAAAAAAAAAAAGAAAGAAAGAAAAGAAAAGAAAAACTGAGACAAAAGGATGGCTTGAGCCCAAAAGTTTGCAGTTACTGAGTTATGACACCATGGCACTCTACCAAGGGTGACAAAATGAGACTGTCTCAAAAAAAAAAAAAAAAAGCCAGGTGTTACGGCCCATGCCTGTAATCCCAGCTACTCCAGAGGATGAGATAAGAGAATCACTTGAGCCCAAGAGTTTGAGGTTCCTACGAGCTATGAGGCCACAGCACTCCACCAAGGATGACAAAGTGAGACTCTGTCTCAATTAAAAGAAAAAAGAGAGAGAGAAAAAGGACAGTCCCCCTAAGGTGGTGCTGGCATAAAGGATGGGAAGAAGACTAACCTAGAATACATATTAAACTGTCATTTATGCCAAATCAAAGAAAAGAACTAAGTCACATAATGAGTGATAAGCATCTGGGATTTAAAGGTTTTAGGTAAGTTTATGAGAACTGGACCCAAAATGAGTATTAGCAGATTTAGGATACTTCATGGTATTTTTAGGGGCACTATAAAGCACTGGACTAAACTGGCACCCACCTCAGACTCAAGAAAGTATATTAACTGTGATATATAAAGTAAAACCTCCCAGGACCTTACTACTTGAACAGCTTATCAGCTTTGGGGACACAGTATAACTACGGGTTAGAACTAAATCTTTACCTGAATCAAACCATTAAATTAGCAAAAACTATTTCAATTTCCATATTGTCAACTCAGGCTATATTTGTTTTCCCAAGAGTTAAATAAGCTAAGCCTTCCTTTGCCACACAAAAATGCCTATTTCTTTCTTTTTTGAGGCAGAGTCTATGTCGCCCTTAGTAGAGTGCTGCAGCATCACAGCTCACAGCAACCTCAAACTCTTGAGCTTAAGCGATTCTCTTGCCACAGCCTCCCAAGTAGCTGGGAATACAGGCGCCTGCCATAATGCCCAGCTATTTCTTTGTTGTTGTTGGAGTCTGTCATTGTCTAGTTGGCCAGGGCCGGGTTCGAACCCGCCAGCCTGGGTGTAGGTGGCTGGTGCCCTATCCACTGAGCTACAAGTACCACCAAAAAATGTCTGTTTCTCATGTTGTCTTTATTAGGTTTTTGATAAAATACCTATTTCTTTAACATATACTACCATAGAGATTTGTGAGGGAATGTTTTAAAACCATGGTTTTAATAACTATGGTTTGCCAAACATGTAATAGTCCCCCCCTTATTTACAGGGGATATGTTCTAAGACCCCTAGTGGACGACTTAAACTGTGGATAGTGCCAGGCCATATATATGTATATTTTTTCCTATGCATACTTATGATAAAGTTTTTAATTTATAACTTAAACCCAGTAAGAGACTAACAACAATGAAACCATTATAGTAACAATTTATTATTATAAAAGTTTCATGAATGTGGTGTGTATGTCTTTCTCTCTTATTATTTTCAAATTAGGGCTGACTACAGGAAACCTCAAAAAGTGAAACCATAGATAAGAGGGAACTACTTATACAATGACTATTCCCCAAAAGTTAAGATCCAAAAAAACTACAGTACAGTGAAAAAATAGGCGACATAGTGAGACTCTGTCTCATATGTATTACATATGCTTTTCTGTAGCCTACTTTTATCCGAAAGGATATAAACTACTGCTAACATTTTGGAGATCTTTGGGTAGCAGGATTACTGATGATTATTTTCTTCTTTTTTGCTTACCTGATTTTATCAACGTTTTCTCCAATTATCACAAAATAGTTCAAACAAAAATATTAGTTATAGGTTAGCATAAAAGGTAAAAAGCTGAAAAAAGGACTTCAGGAAAACATTCATCTAAATCAGCAGGATTCCCACTGTGTTGTTAAGAAAAAAGATCTCAACGGCACACACAGGAGAAAAAGACAGATCAAGAGATCCACGCTACCCCACAATAAGGACATAACTTCAAGGAAATAATCTAAATTTGTAAGAACTCTTCCTTGATTTGATACGTGGCAATTAATCATTACATACTTTTGTTATTCTTTCTTGCTGCTAACCACAGAAACACTTCAATTAATGAATTAACGTTTTTTCAAAAACCAAGTCAGGACAAAAAAGGTTTGGTTTTCTGGTCTCAGCCCTGGAGGGGCACGCAGGGTGGCAGGCGCCAAACAGGCTCAAGTGGAAGGGAACACAAGCTTTCTGCAACCTCCACAGCCCACAGCACTGGGCAGAGAAAACGTCCCTTAGAGCCTCAAGACTAAAACACCTGGAAGGTCTTACACTTTCCAAGTTATTATATGTATAACCGCCGTTTCTGACAAGAAAAAACAAAAACTGGAACGTTTTTTCTACAAATGTAGGTACTGTGCGCGAAACTCATCCCACTCTCTTGATGCAAAACTAAGACACTGTATTATTAGGGTCACATCCTCGATTTTACCAACAGTGGCAACTGAAAACATCCCACCGACTCTCTACAACTAACAAACAAACATCGTCTTGATTAAAATCACAGCATATATAAACAGCCACTTTGGAGAACTTTGGCTTTAAACATCAATACTGGACTTCAGGCATTGCGGGTAACCAGTCTGTCGCACACTATTTAAAGAATGCTACCTCTTTACTGTCAGCCCCAGTTCCACTTACTGAGCAAACTGAAAGAGGGAATCCCTTAAATTCGCAACACAATAGGGACTGAAAGGCTTTCGCTTTCAGGGTGGCAGCTTTCCTATCTCATCTATCACAACAAAGGACGCATCCTAGTGACTTCACCATACCCAGAAAGGATTGAAAGACGAGTAAACGACATGGTGTGGATTTCAAGGTTTGAGAGTTCTTCCTTCCAGCTACGACTCTCTTCTTTTTACTCCATTTCACGCCTCCACCTGTGTTGACTATCTGGCGCTAAAAATAAAACCACCCGTGGCTACCGATCCACTTCCCTGCCGAGCCCTGACTCTGATTTGCAGAAAAAGCCAAAATGCAGGCTCTCAGCCTCGCTCTTCGCCGGGGGGGAGGGGGGCGCGGGCTCGGCAGCAGCAGGCTTCTCCCCGTGCAGCAACGCCAGCCAAGGAAGCACCGAGGCCGAGCAGCAGCCCCGTTCCGCCGCAGCTGCCGCCTGAGGAGCCCCCAGGAATAACCGGGGTGAAGGGAAGGTGGGCTAGCAGACGCCGGTGGGACAGGGGGAGACACTCACCCGCCCAGACAACAACCGATGGGGCGGGGAGGGTAGGGGCCGGGACCAAGGCTCGGCAGAAAGACCGCCTGGAGCTTCCGGAATGCTGCGGCTGCTCCGGACGCCGCTACCGCCGCCGCTCCTGGCCGCCGGCTTCCTCCCCTTCCTCTGTTTTGATTCGATTGACCACGTCACTCTTTAGCCACGAGACCCGGATCTGCCGGCTCTTGTGGGCGGCGGCGCAACAGATTGCAGCGCCACGAGACCCCAGCTGCCCTGTCTGCCGAGCATGCGCGCGCCTTGCGCCAGCCCTGTACGTCCAGAGAAGCCGGGCGGGCGCGAGCTGCAGCGGACACCCACGTCACGCTGTGCGTGGGGGCGCTGAGCGGGGGATGTGGTTCCGGTTGGGAGGGGCGGGGCCGAGGACTGTGAAGGAAGCCGGCCGAGGGCTCGTGGCTGATGAACCGTGGCGCACAGCGTCTGTTTCGTCGGTGGGGATCCGTGCCCGCTAACGTACATGAGTCTCTCTTTTCTGTAGTCTTTAGAATGCGCGTGTAAGGTAGAAGTAGACGTGGGTACAAATACCTGCCGAGACAGGCTACCGCTGTAGAGATTTTTTTTTTCTTTTTTTTGAGACAGTCTCTGTTTGACTCCCTGGGTGGAGTGCTTTGGCGTCGTAGCTCACGGCAACCTCAGACTCTGGGCTCCAGCAGTCCTCTTGCCTCAGCCTCCTGTGTATAGGGCCTGCCACAAGGCCGGCTATTTTTAGAGACGGGGTCTGGCTCTTGCTCTGACTGGTTTCTAACTCCGGCGATCTAACCACCTTGGCCTCCCAGAGTGCTAGGATTACAGGTGTAAGCCACCGCGCCTGACCCATTGTAGAGATTGGCGATTACAAAATCAGGTCAAATGTGACAATTACTGATCACCCATTTTTGCACTGGAAAGCTGACCAAAATTAAGCTCAGCAGAAGTAACTAGAAGGAAATACGTGACCAAAGATGATTTGCTAGTCAGGAGGTAGTGGGGAAGGAGAGCACTGTTGTTAGGCAACGAGGCCAAGCCTTTGTTGCTTTGGTCTTAGGAGCTGGAATGATGTTGGTGACCAACCTCTTTTTTAGATGAAGTTGATGCTTTCCTAGCCTCTTGGTCCCCCCACTAAAACTTGGGGGCCCAGGAAATTTACTAACTTGGCAAAATTTAGAACTACGTCGTTTTCCTAAGTGAATGGACAACCTTTAAAGTGGGACCGGTGGTAAAAATAAAAGTGTGAGTCCCAAACAAAGATTTCACAAGAATACTCCTGCCCCGCCTGCAGGCAAAGTGAAAGTTAGCTGTGAGAAGCTGGCTTCCTTATTTTGACTTGACCTTTACCTACTCAGACTTCTACCTCAGCTATTGGTTAATTACCTCTCAATAAGCTGAGTCACCTTTAGCAAATTAATACAATCAGCAAGAGCTTTTTAATTCAAGTGGATGTTGAACACAAGCAAAGGTTTCTGGTAATACTCAGTGTTCCCTACTTAATTAACAAATAATAAGTAGGTACAAAGAAGTCAAGCTTCTTGGCCCTTAATCTGCAATCTTTTTCAGTTTTTGGCTGGGGCTGGGTTTGAACCCCCCATCTCCGGCATATGGGGCCGCTGACCTCCTTTGAGCCACAAACTCTACTTAAATTCAGAGAGTTTGAGGTGGAATCCAGTGCCCTAATGAAGTTCATGGGCTAAACCTGTAGTAGAAGGGCTTTGTGAAACTCTAAACAAAATATCTTTTATGCTTGGCTGTGCCCATATGCATGTAAGTGTTTTGAGAATGCAGCTGTCTGAGAGCAGTATGGTACAAAACTAGAATTGTATGGGTTGTTGCAAAATTCTCAGTATGTGCTTTATAAATTATGGGCAAATCAAGGGGTTAGGATTAGCTGGGCACAAAGACATACATGCCCGCAGTCCTACCTACTTGGAAGGCTGAGACCTGAGAATCACTTGAGTCCAGGAGTTTGAGGTTGTATGGCACTTACGATCTTGCATGTGAATAGCCACTGCGCTCTCCAGCTGGGGGAGCAAAGTGAGATCCTTTCCCCAAAAAACGAAACGGTTCCCAACTACGGGGCACCATGGCTCATGCCCGTAATCCTAGTGCTCTGGGAGACCAAGGTGGGACAATCACTCGAACTCAGGAGTTTGAGATCAGCCTGAGCAAGATGGAGACCCTGTCTCTACTAAAAATAGAAATAAATTAGCTGGGCATTGTGGCAGGTGCCTGTGGTCCCAGCTACTCTGGAGACAGAGGCAAGAGGATAGGTTGAGCCCAGAAGTTTGAGGTTGCTGTGAGCTAGGCTGGCACTCCAGTCTAGGGCAACAGAATGAGTCTCCGTCTCAAAAAAACCAAAGAGAAAAAAGATGTTAGGATCCTTGGTAGTTGACCTTGTAAGATGACCCCCAATGATTCTCACCTCTGAAGGCACCAGGGCTGTTTGACCAGTAGAATGCTGCTGAATGTGTACAACTTCTGAGGCTAGGTCATAAAGGCACTGATTACAGATTTCCACCTCATTCTCTTGGCTTTCTAGGGAAAGCCAGTCTCCTTACCACTCCACTCAAACAGCCCTTTGAAGAGGTCTGGGTGAAGAGAAACAAAAGCCTCTACCAACAGCCAACACCAATTTGCCAGCCACGTGAGTAAACTACATTGACTGATTCTGCTACCCTAATCAAGCATTTAAATGATGACATCCATGTCTGAATCTGACTGCAATCGCATGAGAGCCAGAAAGGGTTAGCTCTGACCAACAGACACTGTGATGTGAGATCTTATATATTTTTTGTCTTAATCTTTAAGTGCAATCTTTAAACTTTAACAAGAACTGAAAAGTATGTGTGTGTCTAATTTTATGTGTAAGGTAGTTTTTTTTTGTTTTTGTTTTTGTTTTTTTGAGACAGAGCCTCAAGCTGTCCCCCTGGGCAGAGTGCCGTGGCATTACAGCTCACAGCAACCTCCAACTCCTGGGCTCAAGCAAGTCTCCTGCCTCCACCTCCCAAGTAGCTGGGACCACAGGCGCCCGCCACAACGCCCAGCTATTTTTTGGTTGCAGCCGTCACTGTTGTTTGGCGGGTCCGGGCTGGGGATTCAAACCCACCACCTTAGGTGTACGTGGCTGGTGCCTTAGCTGGCTGACCTATAGGCGCCGAGCCGTAAGGTAGTTTTAAAAACATAGAATTCCTGGGCGGTGCCTGTGGCTCAAGGAGTAAGGTGCAGGCCCCGTATACTGAAGCAAGTGGGTTCAAACCCGGTCCTGGCCAAAAACTGCAAAAAATAAAAATAAAAAAAATAGAATTCCTACTACATAACCTGGGATGTACTAGGCATTGAATAAGTATTTGTTAAATGGATACAGAATTAAAAGAAACTGGAACAAATACTAATGAAGGAATAATACAACATGCGAAGGACTCGTGCATCTCAATAAGGAAGATATTAATGCCTGCGGTATATCTGTAGGTGGCTACAGAGTATGATCTGATGGTTGACACACAAAAAGGAAACACAAAGGTCTGATATTTGAAAACTTTCAATTTCATTAGTAATCAAAAAACACAACTTAGCCGGGCGCGGTGGTTCACACCAGTAATCCATCCTAGCTCTTGGGAGGCTAAGGCAAGTGGTTTGCCTGAACTCACAAATTCAAGACTAGCCTGAGCAAAAGCAAGATCCCATCTCTAAAAAAATAGCTGGGCATTGGGCAGCGCCTGTGGCTCAAAGGAGTAGGGCACCAGCCCTATATACCAGAGGTGGCAGGTTCAAACCCAGCCCTGGCCAAAAACTGCAAAAAAAAAAAAAATAGCTGGGCATTGTGGTAGGCACCTATAGTCCCAGCTACTTGGGAGGCTGAGGCAAGAGAATTCCTTGAGCCCAAGAGTTTGAGGTTACTGTGAGCTATGATGCTACTGCACTCTACTACTGAGGGTGATAAAGTGAGACTCTGTCTCAAATACAGAAACAAACAAAATTTCCTTAAAGTAGTAGTCAAAAGATAAATCTTGCTTTAATTTATGTTTTTTCATTTTCTTTTCTTTTTTCTCTCTCTTTTTTTTTTTTGAGACAGAGTCTCACTTATCACTCTCAGTAGAGTGCTGTGGCATCACAGCTCACAGCAACCTGAAACTCTTGGGCTCAAGAGATCCACTTGCCTTAGCCTCCTGAGTGACTGGGATTACAAGCACCTGCCACAATGCCCACATTTTTTTGTTTTTTTAAATAGAGAAGGACTCTTGCTCAGGCTGATCTCAAATTTTTGAGTTTAAGGGATCAACTTGCCTCAGCCTCCTAGGGTGGTAGGATTACAGTCATGAGCCAACGAGCTCAGCCAAGGAAATACCTTTATATAGGAGTATCTCATATTGGAGCTGGACGCTGTGGCTGACACTGTAATCCCAGCACTTTGGGAGGCCAAAGAGGGCAGATCTCAGAGTTTGAGACCAGCCTGAACTAGAGCGAGACCTTGTCTCTAAAAAACGGGCATTATGGTGGGTATTGTAGTCCCAGCTTACTTAGGAGGCTGAGGCAAGAGAATTGCTTGAGGCCAAGAATTTGGGGTTGCTGTGAGCTATGATGCGACAGCACTCTATGAAGGGCAGCAAAATGAGACTCTGTCTCAAAAAAAAAAAACTATGAAATTAAAAATGAAGCTAATGGGACCTTAATACATATAATTCTCTACATTTCCTTTTTTTTTTTTTTTTTTTGAGACAGTCTCACTTTGTCACCCTTGGTAGAGTGTTGTTGCATCATAGCTCTAGCCTCAGCCTCCCTAGTACCTGCGACTACAGGTGCCCACTACCATGCCTGGCTAGTTTTTTCTATTTTTAGTAGAGACGGT